TACTGAACACACCTTTACAAGTCAAATTTTGGAAAAATTACTCCTTCTGTTTTGGGGTTGGTCTGCTTGTGGCATGGTGGATGGGGAAGAGAAGAGTACTTTTCAGGGAGGAACATTCTTGCTTCTGCAGAAGTTGCTAGCTTGGAAGTGTGTGTTGTAGTGCACAGTCTGAATCCTTGGATGAATGGTATCTGACTCTTAGTATCATCACACTGAGAAACTAAGTGCTTACGGGTTAATTAGGATCATTTTTGTTTCTGCAGCTGTGGCTTTACAGCTCCTTAAAGTTGCATCGAGAAGTTGCTTTTCTGTTTATTAAATCAAATTATCTGTACATTCAGAAATACATTATGGCATTATTATGGTTCTGTTAAAAATGTCAGAAATGTTGGGGGGGACATATAGCTGCAAAAAGCTTCAGAAGTTGCTTTCATAATGAGGAATAGGACTCATGGGAAGAGTGAGGAAAGTGGGAAAGACTGAGGAATGAAGTAAAGGCATGAATATTGTGGAGAGGCTAAATGGAGTGATTATCTTATTCTGATACAAAGATACATGTTTCTGAATTTAACAAGTGGCATGTTCATAGGAAGCAGAAACAGGTTTTTCACACGTGTATTTAAGTGGTGGAACTCTTTATGACCTTAATGTTGAAGCTAAGAGCTTTATGTGGTTCATGTGGGACTAGACAAATTGGTAGGGAAAAATACACTGGAGTCGATACTTCAGGGAGGAAAAAAACCTAACCACTTCTGTCTGTCTCTGGAAGCTTCTGAGGTGCAAATTTTTTTTGACAGGAAGACTATTCTCTGTCAGCATATACTTTATATTGTTATGTTCTGACACTCATTTTTGCCACTGTTCTGTTTATTTCCCCCTTCCAGTTAGGAACAGATGTCTCTGAAAAGAGTAAAACTTATTGCTACTGCTGGAGGCAGGATTCCGGGCTAGTTAAATTCTTGATTTGTCTTGATGTAACTGTTCCTTCACACTGAGGTTTTGGTGTTGTCTGTTGAAGTGTATTGAATACAGAAACTGCAGGAATGGTAACACTATTCAGGGCAAGGTGCCACAGTATCTGGGTGATAGCTGTAGTGGAAGGATTAGCTACTTTTTGGCATCCTAATTTGGTGACCAGAGTGTAACTGAATCTCTTATCGCTTATGTCCTAAGCAATGGTATTTTTATTTGTGCATATCTTCTTTCTAGGAATGACTGCCTATGGAGCTATATCAGTCTTTGGAACTTGTATCATTAAGACTTTATGAAAGTTGACTTATGTGCTCATGAATGTCTGCAATTAGGCTGTAACTTCATGTCCGTTATACCATGCTTTGAAAAAGAGGAGAAATTCCACTTTGTGCTCCCTGTCTATCTTACCGAAGAAAATGAACCCTTCTAAGTAATGTGCAATTATTATCAATGTATTAGGGAGGAAAATGAGAGATGGTGGTGCTGAGCGGTTTTATTTTTAAAGATAGCGGCTGCAGAATTCTAGTGCACATTAACTTTGTATGTTGACACTCTTGTTCCTAAAATTGAGCTTCTCTGTGAGGTGGCTTGGTATGTGCATTTCTGTTGACAGCTTTGGCTGGAATGCTTTGGAGCTGTGTGGTGACCTTTAGCTTTGTATTGGTTACTTTTTGGTTTTTGAGACTGACCAATTCTGCTACTCTTAAAAATTCGAGTAGTCTGTAAGTCATAATTTACAGCTTGTCCCAACAGCAAGATGTGTAAATTAGTTACTTCTGAGGTTCATTAGTAGTCTTTTCCATCAACCTGGGACAGTATTTGTGTGCTGCTTTGATTTCTTTCACAGGCTTTTTGGTAATCTTGTTGCCTTCTTCTCGATTAACTAGCATTTAAATAAGAAAACTTCTTAAAAATTGGATTTAAGTAGTGTACCTCTTCCTGTTCTGAAATCCAGTTTCATGTGAAGATGCCATCCCATGATGTGCTTACTTTTTGTTTCCTTCGATGTCTGGCCAAAGAATCTCACTACCACTACACTTTTCCAGGAGTAATGCTCTTCTCCCATTGTGTCAAGCTTCCAAGCTTGGAATGTTTAGGTATTACAGTGCTTTGAGGGAGTTGGTATGGTGCCCTTTGTCAAGTTTTTGAGGTTTTTTTTCCCCGATAAAAATACTTCTGCATGTTTATCCTGCAGCTAGTATTGACATGTACATGTGGCCAGGTAAAACTGCCATGCTTCTCACAGTTTTGCTGCTGTCTGGGAAGTTCTAATGGATTGCCATGTCCAGGTAGTTGCATCTCTCCTTATTTAGGAGCTGTGGATGTGGTTGTTAGTTGGCTAATCTGGAGAGAAGACCCTCTGGGACAACACTCAGTTTTCTAAAACAGGAATCTCCTATCTCTCTTGTTTTTAGCTTTGTGGTATGAGTAGATGATAATTTGTTCTTTGAAGCCATTAGAATGTGAGCTTGTTAGACGACTTCCAAGGCTGGTAATTGTTGTTGCATAGTAGAGATACCAAACCCCTTTTGACGAGAGCCTTGGAAGTATGATATACTCATATAAGAATGTCTTCTATTAGTTATTAATTTCATGTTTAGTTTGGTAGAACAAGACCTTGTCACTCTTACAGCTATAGTTACATATTTTAAAAACTGTCAAGAAAGCTTTTGAACCAATAATGTTGATGGAATATGTTGAAATACTTTAGACATTTTGGAGTAGATGGGAACTTTACATCTGTGACTGGAGCATGTGGGAGGGTTTGGTAAGAGCTTAGACTCTGGACAAAAGAAAGAAGGGTGGATTCAGAAGAGGAACTACTGAGGTAGTTAAGGAGTGGCCCTATTAACTCAAGTGAATCAAGGTTATGTGATAAATAGATGCAGATAGACTAACAGTTGTTAATTGCATATGTAGCTGCTGATAAATTGCTGCAGTTGAATTTAGTATACTGGCCTCTTAAGGCATCAGTTGTCCTAAACTGTATGGCATCTTATATAAAATGTATAAAATCTCACTTATTCTTTAACTTGCCATAAAATCAGTAACTTCAGAGGGATTTCATGGAAATCCTACAGCGTGAATTAAAATAAGAAATTACAAGGATTGTTAAATGTTTGTGATATGTAATTTTGGAGAAGAGGTGATTGGTTTTCTTGGGCACTGTAACCACTATGTATTTGTGAAGGAGAGGCGAACATTGACGTCTCCTTTGGTTTGCTTCCTAAATTTGAGGTGTTAATTTATCTAAATATGAAGTTGCCCATATGTGAGATTGATTTTACTCTGGGATTGTGATGCTGGAAAAATCTAACCACCACCATTGTCTCCACTTAATTGCTGTGCTGCCCTAGCATATATAGAATTGCAGCTGACAGTTTGCGTCTTTGCAGTCATGAAAGTATTGCATGTGTGTTTGCTCCATGGCTTTCATCAGTGCTGAAATATGTTAGTCAGGTATACTGAAATTTACACATAGTTGTGTCTCACCCTCCTTCCAATGAATCAAGATTTCCTGTATGCTCAATGAGACTGACCTTGGAGACCGTAATTATCCTTGTCTGGATAACTAACAATCAAACTGGGAGGTTGGCAGTCATCTTAAGCCTTGGTCTGTTTCTCTAATCCTATTTTAGGCTATTCAGATTAAAAGTTTAGTGTACTGGGCATGTTCTGTTGAGTTAATGAATGAAATACATAAAGCCTTGTTAAATTGGTAGCTTGATAATCCAGTAGGTTCTGACTGTGAATTTGCTCCTGTAAAATGAAATCATGAAATGCTATAGGGCTTGGTTTGCACGAATCTTCAGTATCTGCTTCTAACATCTTTAATTAATCTTATATCTGTATCAAGTATTTGGATGTCTGTGAAAACCAGTCCCTGTGTTTGGGTGGTTTGGGGTTTTTTTCCCCCATTTGCTGTATTGGAAGAACCTGCAGTGTTTATTGCTGCTGGGTAGGTAACATGATTAATTTTCCTATGAGCCCAGGCACATGGACAGACTGTTGTTTGCAAAGTTACAGGGAGTCAAGCTTTCTTCATTCAGAAAGCATTTTCATAGTCCCTCTGTTTTATACATCATTTGTTGGTTGTAACTGTAGAAATGAGACCCTTACCATTACTACATGTAGAAGCAAAGAAATGGTAATTGTTCCTGCTTCAAAACTTTCTTTCAAAACTAAGGGGAAGGGGTCAACATCTTTCTGCTGCCAAGAGTGCTATGGAAGTTTGTGCAGTTAATAAAAATCACCTTGTTTTACAAATAATTAATTTTTTTCTTACAAGTTTTTTTTTTCAGTTTCTTATCCAGATGGAGTTACACTTGGCTAAGGTTAGGGGACCCTGGTTTTTAAGTTGGTCCTTAGTTTCTTTTCTATCTTCCATTTCTCCTAAATGAGAAATCTTGCCATGATTTGATCTAGTATGTCCACCTTTATATTCCTCTTACATTTCCCATTTATAACTAAATGAATGAATCAGTTTAATCATGATTATGGTTCAGAAATCAAGATATTGTCAATGAGACGACTGTTGGGGAGGCAACTCGATGTTTTGTGGCTATCTTTACGTATGGGAGTGCATGAGCTCTCAGTGTGTTGTCTCTTGTTAAAACAGAAAATGCTGAGTTATAGAGCTTTGTTGCGTGCATTAGTGCTTAGTCAAAAAGTGGTTTTACTTTTTTAAACTGGACACTAAAATGTAAAGCCTTCAAGTTTTTATTTCAATGCAATTGAGTTATTAAAGCAAGAGTTTGGCAAATGGCAAGCACAATTTTTTTTTTGGTGGAAAAAGCTGTGAAATTTGCAGGCATGCAAAATTCTGGTTTAACTTTAATGCTATTATACTGCATTTTCAAATGCAGAGTTAGGGCAAAGGTTAATAGATGTCTAATTGTTATTTGTGATATTATGGACTTTGTTTTTATCTAACTATTATATTGTTGTCATAAAGCTACAGTGTTGGTATACCTTTTTAGTGTTTTCAGACTCTATAGAGTGAATTACTTTTTTTCTTTTTTTGACAGTCAAGAATCCTTTTAGTGAAGAACTACAGAAAATACAAGTAAGTAAAACCACTTAATAGTGAGATTTTGATCTTTCACATGATTGTATAAAAGCAATATAGATCTGTTCAGAATGTTGCAGTTTTAGAATATTTTGCATGAAATAAATGCACTTCTTGTAACTGATATTTTTAATTTTTTGTTTTCCATCTTGGGCAATATAACTAGGATTACAAAATTTGGCTGTGGCATGCTGGTTGCTTTATATACTAAGAAAATATTACATAATTTGTGTTGTAAAAAAAAAAAAAGTGTTGTAAATTTTGAGACTAAATTTGGTAGTCTGTCTCTTACTGTTACCATTTGGCTTCTGAACATTGAAAGCACAGCTGGTAAGAGATGATTGACATGAAACTCCAGAATCTTATTTAGTGCTATAAGAGCATCCTTCAGAAAATGGATTAAAAAGTTTCTTTTTCACTTTCTGTTACTTGTTCCTATATTCACTTTTTCTTCTGAAATATCAGGCTACCCATTTTTGAGATCTCACCATTGAAGCTATCTGTATTATTCTTAATTCTGCAGCATGCATTCTGGTGATTCTCTCTTCTGACCTGGACTGTAAAGATAATGATCTGCTTTTGCTAGGCATATATGAGCAAGTATTGCAAGAGAATTGTGGAGGATTTTTTGTTTATTTGTTTGTTTGTTTGTTTTGGGGTTTTTTTTGTTTGGTGTTTGAGATTTGTTTTTTTCTTATTTGGTGTGAGTTGTTTTTTTTTTTCCCTCATGTCTAGGATTGAACTCTCCAAAAGTGAATAATAGCATATTAAGTAGGTAACCTTGGCTAGTTTTTTGGATAGAAAATGTTTCTTTTGAACAAAAGAATCTTTTGAATTTTGTTGGGTAAATTCTGGGCATTCTTTCAGAATTACTTTAGTAGTGCAGAGAGAATGCGTCTTGTATACTGGACGTGACAGCCTGAGAACCTGTTCTGTATGTTACTTTCTCCTGTTTTTATGTCACTGTTCCATAGTAATTGTATTCCATGCTTGATTGCTAGCTATGAAGATTATACTGTTTAGTTCTGTCCTTTATGTGGCCCAATCATTAATTTGAAAAAGGAAAAAGTTGGTCACAACAGTATTTCACATGTCCATTTCAGTGTAGCTATTAATGAAGTCATGGATGTACCTACTGGCAAATAAATGGAACTTGAAGTACAGCTGGTGGTGTGTGTGTGCTGAAGGACTGTTTTTCCTCTTATGCCATGCCTACTGTTTTCCAGCCAGGAAATGAGTTAGTAAGGTTGGTTTGTTTCCTGAGGCACCAACTACATCAATTTAATCTCAGTGATGGTTTTGTAGTACCAGAATAGGGAGAGGGGGGGCTGGTAATTGTTGGTAATGCCGATGGGAAATAATTTGTCAATTGTTTGATCAATGAAAGAAATATTCTGCTTTTTTTGGTATCAGTTTTCTTACAAAAAAAAGTTGGACCATTCACATTTTAAAATTATGTCAACAGTGCTAGTGCATCAGGGAATTGAGCTTAATATGTGTTTTTCTTTTTTTCCAACGTGAGTATAATCAGCAGATGCACAAACTGGAAAATTACTTTTCTTGCATATTTTTTTGAATGAAGGTTCTAGTCTTAACTCAGCCATTTGATAAAACTTCAAGCCCAACATTTCAGAATGGCTTTTGGTGGATGCAATTGTATGTGTATCTAATTACATGTTCTTTGTCTATATTTTGAATATTTCCTTCTAAATAAAATGTTCCTGGATATATCTTAATGAAATTGCTCATATCTTGGTAAGTTTAACTCCCCTGCAAGTAACAATTATATCTCATATTCATGCTTATTTTGGGAATTAGACCTTTTTATATTAGTGACGTATGCAGGAAGTATCAACAAGATTGTATAGTCCACAGCTTTCTGTTGTGGTTTGCGTTTGTTTTGTTTTTTGTTTGTTTGTTTTTTAAATTAAGTTACTGTAGTTTGAAGGTAGACAGTAGAAATCTTCCTTTGCTTGGAATTCTATGCCAGAATGTGACCAGTACTTTAGTGTGACTTGTATGAAATGTCTCTGCACATTTAAGAATAAAAACTACTATTTTTACATAGTAGTTATCAAAAAGCCACCCCAAACAAAACAGAAATTTCTTTTGGGTCATTTCACTCTTCTTTCAGTAGTATCAAAATAACCTTTTGATCAGTTGCTTTTAGCTGGCAGATCCATCGGAGTCCACACTACAATCTAGTTTAGTTTCAGTCAAGACCTGAAAGTTCAATGGAGTGGATACTTAGATTCAAAATACGTTGCCTGCATCATTGCTGATGTGCAAAACATTACAGCTTTCTACCTGTATGTGTAAAACCCATTTTTTTTCTCATGGTATATAAAGATTTTTGGGGTAAATGGAAAAAAGTATATCTCTACTACTGTTTGTTTTGACATAAATATGTTTTTCTAATTCTAGGAACCTGAAAGAAACCTCATGAAGAGCTTGTATGCGCTTCATGACAAATTGGCACAAGTAGCAGGTAACACTTTAAAAATATTGTGATACAGTGTTTGGCAACAGCTACAAAGAAGTCAATGCTCACATAGCGATTTGCAACAAGTGATAGCCATTTAGAGTTCTGTATTGGGAAACTAGAAATCCTGTTTCTAGTTCACTTAACAACTTACACAGTGTGACACCTTTTGTTGCAATGTTTGTTAGTTAATGGGATAGGCTGTTGAATATTGTGATCCCGTGGGGTTTTTTATCTAATACCTTAATGCTTTATTAATCTGATTTTGTTAAAAGGCTGAAATTTGCTTTATATGGAGAGGAATATGTGGGGTTTTTTTAAAGGTTGTTCATTCACTAAGGTGAAAACCAAAATATTTTGCAACAATGATAAAATGGTTACTAATAGAGTGAATAGTAGTGGTTGAACAAGTTTGCCTTGTTAGACTAAAAGGTCCAACTTAACCATATTAATTACATAGTAACGAAAAGTACTGTGTATAGTAATGTGTCAGAGATGGTGTTTAGGATTAGTATTATTGAATATTCAAAGTAAAAAATAGGGTGGTTTTATCCAGAGTCGTAATGAACACAGCTTTAAACTGCGCAGATAACTTACACATCGCAATCAGGAAATGGTTAAGTTAGGGCTGTGTTTATAACTTTGGCCTCTGGTGAATGCGAATTACAGTTGAGTCTATTACATGACTATTAAGCCATTTTTATTATTCTTGCTTATTTAATTCATAATGTGTTTAGGAAGCCTTACTGGTCTTTGTGCCAACTATTTGTTTTGCAACAGCAGGTTTCACCAAGAAAGCTTTGTCATTGTTATCAGGTGCTACAGACATTTCTCAAACATAAAAAAATGTGGAAACAACTCTGTGTCAGATATGAAACCAACAATTCAATATCTCAAGGCTTTATAGAAAATCTGTGTGAAAGTTGAGCACCTTTGTAATACCTTTTACATTGCAACAATAATCTTCCAGCAGAAAGCTTTTGTTTCCAGAGCATTTACAATATCTGCAGCACATATGTTTGGACAAACCCCACACATTTCTTTTTGTTTACATTACAGAATCACATTACAGAATGGCCCACAGTGGGTCTTCTGGTCCAACCTCCCTGCTCAAGCAGGGTCATCCTAGAGTACATTGCACAGGATTGTGTCCAGGCGGTTCTGGAATATCTCCAGTGAGGGAGACTCCACAACCTCTCTGGGCAACCTGTTCCAGTGCGTGGTCACCCTGCACAGTAAAGAAGTTCTTGCTCATATACAGGTGGAACTTCCTGTGCATCTGTTTCTGCCCCGCCTCTTGTCCTGTTGCCTGGCACCACTGAGAAGAGCCTGGGTCCATCCTCTTGACACCCTGCCTTCAGATATTTACAGATATTGAAAAGGTCCCCTCTCAGTTGCCTCTTCTCGAGGCTGAGCAGGTCCAGCTCCCTCAGCCTGTCCTCAAAAGAGAGATGCTCTAATCCCATAGTCATTTTTGTTGCCTGACATACAGCATGTTTCAGCTCAGTGTTCAAGCTGATTTTCCTTGCTTGATCATTGTCATGCTACTTCCCTCTGTTTTTTGAAGAGAGTGTAACAGCTTGCTGGTTTTGCTTAGTGTGTCATCTGGCCCTCCAAGGGCCATACGGTAAACTGGCCTTAGGTGTGACACCTAATTTCTACATCTGTGAAAGGAAGGGAATTTTCTTTATTAGCTGGGGCTTACTTAAATGCATGTAGACCTATAAAAATATTTGCTTCTCTGCCTTATGAGAAGGAATTTGTGTGCTCCAAGATGTCTGCGTTCTTCCCCAGATCTCAAAGGTGCATTACTCTCTGTTAGTCTATTTCTGACTAAGAGGATCTTCAATGATGCCTTTTAAAAAATATAGCTTTCCTTTCTGGTTAATGATAACCCTGAAGAGATGATACAGACTGAAGCTATATTGTGAGATTTCCTGGTTGCTCAGGAGAGTAGCTTTCATACCATCTGAAGGACATAATTCATCTCCAGTTAGACAGAAGTTATCCTCAATGCCAAGTTTCTTAAGGTATGAGAGGAAGAAGTCTGCCATCCATTTTTGAATACCATATTGATGTAGACATGGCACAATATCTGGAAGCTGTTTAAAAGGCATAAAACAGAGAAAGCTGCAAAGGAAATACAGGATTTTGGTGTACACAGTGCCCCACTTCAAAAGAGACAGAAGTTAAGGAATATAGTTTTAATAAAAATGGTGCTTTTCAGGTCTCTCTGCATACTTGGAAAAGTTTCTCTCATTTCATACTTGGCTATGAGTCATTTGTTCATGTTATAACTATTAATATTAAAAAGGCAGGCTGGAAACCTGAAGTAATCTGTTCTGTTATTCAAGATCTTGACTACCATAAAGATGGTCCCTCCAAAATTTGATTTTTAGCTCTGTTTTATTAGATTTCTTATAATTTTACTGAGCTAGTTTCTTGCCTTGTCAAATTCAATTGGAGAGTGAGGGGGCTTTTAGAAGGTAGAATATGAAGAAACAAAAAGCATATCAGTTCATTAATTTTATTTGACTTAATGTACTGTGTTCCAGCTGTAGATACCTATTCTGTACTGCGATGCTCTGATATGATGTCAAATTATTTAATTATCCTATATAAAAATAGATTACCTTTTAATGCATCACTGTTCTCAGAATTACTAGTCTGCCAAACCTACAGTGCATAATGTCTACCTCATAAGACACTAAGGGGAGACTCATCCAGGTCTCAGTGGAAGTTTGTGTTCTTGTCTTGAATAGTTTAGCCATTCTTCAAAACAACAACTTTTTATAGACAGTATATATTTCAGTGCCTAACACTTTCTGCTAAACCAAAATACCTGCTTTATTTAAATTAGACTTTTTTCAGGCATATGGTAATTACGGGATGTCTTGGTCTTTCATGGAGAGATTCAATAGATCACATCCACTTTCACTCAGACTTGCAAAATGAATAAACCTAACCAGTATATCCACAGGAAGCAGCCAGCTACCCTTAGGTATGACCCTTCTTTCTTGTAGATAAAGGATTTTTTAGTTAGCAGTTTCTTTTGCTTGGCATTCTCTACGGTGTGATCACCTGTTGGATTTAGATGTTTTCCTTCTAACCTAATGCAGAGCACAGGTCCTTGAGATGCAGGGGTGAATTAGGCTTTCATGTGTAATAAAGGCTTACTGTTAAATCCATGGCTGCAAGAAAATCCTGGCAAAGCACTAAATATTACTTAATATTCATTTCAAGTGTCAGCTACTGTATTTGATTGCTGTCACAGGCTCTCTGTTCTGTCACTCTCCTTAATCTTAAGTTCTTCAGGTAATTGATACAGTAATTGATACCAGTGATTGAACAAATTTAGCAAGTTCTGATGTTCTGTAGTGTTACTCAGCTTTTGAGTTTGCCTTTGGGAGACTGGGCATTTTTACTTGCTCTTGCAACGTGTTCTGCTCCTGTTTTTCTTCAGCTCCCCACTTTAGTGTCCTGCTGCAAGTAACCTGCAAATGTGAGACCTTGTACATTGCTTATATTTTGTATTGATTGACTGTATCACGTCAAGCTGTAAGCTAGGCATCTGTGCTTAAATCCATGTCTTCCTTGAAGAATTAGATTTCCACTGGGTTTTGGTACCAAATGAGAAAATTATTTACAGTGTAAAGCAGTTATAGAAAACAGAATATTTCTGTTTGAATATGCTGCAGTTCATAAGTTAAATGCCTAAATGAAAGTCAGTTTCAAATATTATAATCTGCACGGGAAAGGAGATCTGACTTGGTTTCTGTATTAGAAGCAATTGAGACAACTGACTTAAATATTTCTTTAGAAGCTTTAGTTGCTTTTTGGTAGTATTTCTAGGACAACTCCTCAACTTCTTATGTGGCTTACCCAAGTACACTAACATAAACTAAAGAGTAGTTTTGTGATCCTTGCTGGGATGTTACTTTTTGCCTCCCTATGAAAGCAAATAGAATGGTTCTTTGATTGAAGCTGAAATTAGTGATCTGTGCCCAAGAAAAGTTCAAGCAGAAAGATCCATGCTTTCTGTAAACTTGCAATAGACATTTTAACAGAGAGGCAGTTTTTACAAAGAACTCAGATGTATCTTGCAGCAAACTTGTGTAAAGTTTTTTTTGTCTGAGCTTCAGTTTTATTCCTGGATATAGGGCCTCAAATGGAACAGCTGGGAAACATTTTTGGCTCAGACTATGGAAAGTGGGTTTCCAGGCTAAGTGGTTAATGATTGTACCTAAGTTATTCAAAGTAAGCCTTCATTTGCAGAACTATTAGCTAAAGCAGTGACTGAAATGGCATATAGGAATATCCTGCTGTTGCAGTAAAACAGAAGGTTGTCTGACTTGTGAAATGCCTAACTTTCTGTAAGCTTTCAAATTCATGAGTTTTTTAGAAGAAAGCTGCTAAATGGTTCTCAGCAATAAATGTGTTGGAATGAGAAACTGCATCTCCAGTAGCTTTTTGTATAGGACTGAAACTTCATAACTCTGATTAGCTTACTTGTTTTGAGAGTGGGAGGCAAGATGAAAGGGATTTTTATTCCTCTTCTGCTCCCCCCCCCGGCCAGTATTGTGTGAGGGAAATTTGAACTGATGGGCCTTAGACATTGTCAGAGCCCAGGCAGCAAAGGTGTTTTTGACTGTTAAACTTGTTCAGAGGGAATATAGTCTGAAAAAAATTTCAGAAGCATGACTGAGAGAAAACTGTCTTCTGATTTCTCAAGATGAGACCAGAAGCTGTGAAGTCCGTATGCTGGTTGTGTGCTGCATAAACATAATTCTTGGAAGAAGGCAAATAAGTTCTAGATATAGAACAGTATGTTTACACCAGAGACTGTATGAGTATGATATATAGTTATTTCAAGTCTGCTAATCTTGAAACATGAAATCACTGATGATTACACATCTAAATTTATAGGCTGTAGAGTTTATACTGTACAAAAAGAATGTCTACCTAAATTATGTACAAGAACAGCCCATAACTCCAATTCAGGTGCTGAGTTCTAAAAGTAGAGTGGTTTTTGGCAAACGTGGTACCAATTTTCAGCAGTAGTTTTGATCTCTGTAGATTTGCTATAACAGTAGACTCAGGCACTTTGAACGTCTAAGACATTGCATGTTAATTATCAAGTGAAACATCTTTCAAAGTGTTCTGCTCAGCGCTTGATTCAAAATACATGCGTGCACACAGGCTTAGTTCCAGCAGCACTTCTAGGCCAGGTAGCATCTGAGCATTCTTTAAAATGCTGTTCCTATTTCTCTATATCCCAATGGTAAGAGAAGAGCATGCCTGTTATGATAATGTGCTTGCAAGACCAAGTTCACTTAAATCTGTTGAAGTGTACTTTAACAAGACTTTAGCAGTCGGAGAAGGACTTTGGTTTCATAGAAACACTTAGTTCTCTGGCACTCCCTACTGTGAATGAGACATGAAGGTGCTTCTCCATAACTTGCTACTGTTTCCTAATTTTTGCTTACATTGCATTGAACGTTCTCATTTGTGTAGGGAATTAGTACTTGAAGCTGCTCTTTTTAAAGAGTATTCCAATATAAGCAAAGGTTTACATTTTATATAAGCACAAGTGTCTTAAATTTTCATAGCCTTGCTATAGCTTTGGGAAGAATACAACTTGGTATAGCTTGAAGAAGGTAAGGCAGGTGTAACCCTGAGCCAGTGAAAGACTGGATTTGTTGTTTCCTGTCATTGTTTTGGCACAGTAAAAGCGTAGTTACAGATTTCAAGATTTAGGTTTCTTTTTTTTTTTTATGAAAGATCGGAAAACAGTGATTTGCCACTTGCTGATAGTTCTTCAGAAATGATGGCCTAGTGATAGATGAAAACCTGGTGTTAGACCTTTTCCTTCTCTGTATGACTTTGTGTTGGTATGACTGTCACTTTTTATGAATCATGTACCTTTAGTTTAGCAAAGAAGATCAGATATATGATGGCATGTTGCTATGCAGACTGACTATGCATATACCTTATTTCCTGGCTACTTCTGCATACATTCAAAAACGATTAGGAGATGGTAAAAGCACCAGTTTCAGGCCATAGTGAGATTTTGTGTGTTCAGGCAGGTGATGAGTTACTGTGATAACTATACCAATCTAAAATGTAGTAACTTCATAGTGCCTGAAATAATATTATGAATGTGTTGTGACTGGAACCTGGTCTCTATAACGGATGATATACGTTTCAGAGTAAATGGGAATTATTTAGAAGTTGAGTCAGGGTACAGCAACTGTTTTGTGGTAATGTCCTTTTCGTAGTTCTTCATACTACCGTTTTTTCTGCTTTTGGTGTAAATACTGAAATACACTTTTTGAGCAGTACATGAAGTTGTATTGATGTGATTTGTACATATTATTAGCTCTGACAATCATCAGGGTTTTTAGACTTTCTTTGAAGGAGAAATTTATGCAGAGAAATTTATATATTGTTAATGAAACTTATGAGAATTACTGTGCTACTGCTGCTTGTGTAAATTATGTTAACCGGAAACTTGCGTTCAGGTAATTTTATTTTATATAATGCAGTAATTATAGATCAAAATAAACAAAAGCTTTCGTTTTACCAGGGGAACATGAATGTGGCAGCTCTGTTCAAAGAAACCTTACCGTCCAGGAGGCAGCTGCATATTTAAAAGTAAGCAAATGAGGTACTTTTAATTGGTTGTATATAAGATTTGTATAAGTTACAATTTGTAAGGCCCTGGTTTCCTATCTAGTGTATTGACTAAAATTTTACTTAGTATTATTTGGAAATGTTTGGAATTGATGACTTTAACATGTGCTACATCTAATTTTTATTTGGGGATGTAGGGAATATTTGAGGAGAGGGAAGGTGAAAGAAACTGGCTTAATTTCAATGAAAGTGTAGCTAGTAGTGCTTCAATGGCATGCAGGGCTTTTTTCCCTTTCATTAAAACACCGGGACATGATTTGGATTGATGGAGATAGTTGACCAACATAAAAATAATAAACTTATAAAATTCAAATATCTAGAAGCTTCTCCAGAAACGAGTATACTGGTTTTTGAGACTTAGTATAAAGAATACTGTCTTCCTTTCTTTGTGAAGAGGGGTCGACATGTGGATCTGTGCAGAGAGACTGACAGACAGCAGCTGTGTGGAGAGGCCATTCATTGATGGCCACTAATTCATTTAAATAGAAATGGTCAAAAAAAGGCCTTTTTGTTAATTTGATCAGTGTGTAGTGGTATGAAATCCCACTCCCTGCTGTCATTCTCCTGTCTTACTCCCCAAATAAAAGATAACTCTCGCCTTGTCTTGACAGCTCTAGGGTTTATTTTAGCCCATATTGGTGTACCCTACAGTGGAAAACTACTTGAAGCATTTAAGAGGCTGAGAGTAGATTTCTTTGATTGGATGAGGAGGAGTTAATGTACATATACATGTATACATGTATATGTACATGTATATGTACATATATATGTACATATGTACATATATATGTACATGTATATGTACATGCATACATGTATATGTACATGTAAATGTACATATACATTTGTATATGTAATATACAAATGTATAGGAATTCTACATTTTGGCAATCCTTTACTTAGTAGACAAAAAGGGGCAATGTTTGAGAGCATCCCAAAGAAGTTGCTAACACTAGTTTATAGTTTGGCAATTATGATCTACATCTGTTAAAACCAGTTGTATTGTGGAAAAATTAAGTTGATGCCATAGAACTGATTGTCTCGACCGTCTGTTACTCTGAAAGAATGACAGTTGTTATCATAACTGTTTTAGCTCTGCTAGGAAGCTCAAATTTAGTATGAAAATTTGTCACTTTGCAGGAAGTCTCATTTAACCCTACAGTTCCTCATTTTGAGAGTATAACTCCTTTACAGAATTTCTGTGTTCAGTTACTTTTTCATACTTTAATCTCAAACTGAAATAGTTACTGTTTTTTTTATGTGCTTATTATGCTTTAATTCTAGGCAAGTTACATTATGTGAGGTTCAAACGAAAGATGGAAATAAATCTTTTTTTGGGAGTGCAATTTCAAATATAATAGTAACTTCCATTTTGCTTTTCTTTTTCTGCAAAAGAACACGCAAGGTGAGCTATGGAGACAGCCTAGCTCAGACAGCAGTGGATGCTCTCCTATTAGAGTTGATACCAAATAATTAAAAGTCAGTGTCTAAATAGTGATGTCAGTTCTTGATCTACGAACACTGAACTGTTTGCAAAATATGAGTAAAACCTGATTTTACTCAAGCTTCTTAAAAAAGATCAGAGCATGGAACTGCTTTTACAAGACCCATTTCCAGCAGCGTTTGGATCTGTTTGGAGTTTTATTCTTGGAGTAATTTTTTTTTTTTTTCAGTGAGCGCCGCCTAGTGGCTGAATAATTGTTTTCTTCTTGTAGGTTAGAATTGTTAATTAAACAGTGAATGTGGCTTGACTTTTCAAACAGTCCTTAGTTTGAGGGATACTGGTGAGTCTGATAACTGCTCATAGCATATATAAATTTACTTTGCGCAGTGAACTTACTCAAAATCTGAAGAATCAGGAACAAAACAACATTGTTTTGGCTACTAATCTGTGCAGAATCTGAGTTTTATTGTGGCATGATAACTTCCCGGTTGTTTATGAAATTACTCATTAATATTGTATTTTGACAGAATTTAGATCCAGAATATGAAAGTGTACTTAACAAAGCATTACAATGGATCTTGAATAGTGGGGAAGATGTTGGCATAAAGTAAGTGGTCTTTATTTCTTAGCTTAATTTGTTCTAAGAGAATGTATCATTTTTCATAAGTACTGTATATTTTTTAATAGGTGTCTCAGCAATGACCCTAATGAGATGAATGTCACTAACGTGACAGATGTGAAGTATCTGGAATCCACTAGTCCAAAGATGTCTTTCAGGTGTCGTTTTCGCCGTGCGTTTGTTAATGTAACTCACAGATTATCAATATTGCTCCTGGGTAAGTTAATAAAACGGTCAAGATTTTTTTGTTGTAACTTGTGTTTATCTAAATGCACAAGGAAAAGTTAACAGCACGTTTAGAGAAAGTTTTTATTCAACCACAGAACTTGGAGTTTCTATCAGTGTCTTGATTAAAATTCAATTTACTTTGCACTTCTCTTGCACCACCCTGTCTTCACACCGGTTGCTATCATCTGCTTCTGTAATCAGCTGAACATACTCATTCTTTGGAAACTCTTTTTCCCTATTCCCAAAGCAATATCTTGTGGCTTTCAAAAGTTCCATGTGGAACTGATTAGAAAAAGCAGTAAAAAGACATAATAGATGTAATTTTGAGGATATTTCACTGTTGTTGAACTTCAGAAATGTAACTACAGAAAAGATGATCTTCCTAGTTTTAGGAAAGGTTGGATATCTAACATGGTTGTCACCAAAAATTCTTGCCTCTAAGAGTATGTTGTAAAAAATGTATGTAATCCTTCAGTAAGACTAATTAATTTAGGTTTTGATAGTTCTTTGATTGAGTTTCAAATTCACCCAAGTTTATTTTATTCTGAGCCATACTGAAAACTATGCAGCATAAAAACAGGGTACAAATGAGTGCAGACACTTCACTCCTTTCCATGTGGCTGGATAATAATATTGAAGATGCACAGTTCATCTCACCTATTGAATATTTAAAAAATCATTTATCCCAGTGTCTTAACAATGTCTTGCTTATGAGGAGAAGACTTGAGACCTCCTTCAGTAGCCTTTTGATGAACCAAAAGAATCAAAGGCAAACTGTCCTAGATTGCTGTCTTTCTGATAACAGTCAATACAAGGACTGAATTGGGATGTGGAGATAAAACTCTGTATCCGAGTCAACCACTGGTCTTAATCATGCTGAGCAAATTGCTTCATGTCTCACCTGTAGTTAACATTAATATGGAGCACCTTTTGAAAAATAAACTACTGCATAAATGTTAGATGTGTTGTCATTAACTAACAGTCATTTTGGCCTAAAATGATGTCCATCAGTCTCTTTGATATATCAGTTAAAACTGCCTTGTGGTTACTGATATATGAAAGAAACTATGTAATTATAAATTGTGTATGTGTGGGTTTGGGTTTGATTTTTTTTTTTTATATTGTTAATTGATCGCAGGTGTAGTGGTGCCCTCAGCAAAATAGAAGAAGGAATAAGAACTTTATTTTCAACTTATGCTGCTGACCTTCCTAACTAGATTGTCCTTTTTGGAAAATATTCAAAGTAATAGAAAAAGAGCATGAAGTACTTCATTGCAATAAATACAAATCTGTAGCTGAACTGAAGCAGTCCAAGTTAATTTGCTTTGACCAGTATATCTAAAGCATATGACTTTTCTGTCAATTAAAGAATATTGTGCGTTTTAAAATCTAAACATGTTCTTAATTGTCAGTTTATGTGACTGTTAATATGACTTTTAATTTTCCCAGTGTGATTGTTTTACTGTTTTTCTTCACAAATGGGTAAAATTTAAAATCACAGTCCTGGGAGATACCAAGCTGTTGCTAAAACAATGAGTGTTTTTCTAAAAGTAACTTCTTTTCAAAGTGGAAGGAAGAGGTTGTGTTTCTGTGTAGAATACTGACAGCAAGTACAATGTATTTTACTAGTTTTAGAATGTACAGTACTTGTTAGATAGTTCAACCAACTTTTGAATTGTGCCCTGTAATCTTTCTTAAATAACCGATGTTCTAATACTGTTTAAAGAGTATTATGCATCTTAATGCAGGTATAGTGATGGTTTGGGGAGTCTTACACTACATGAAGTACCGTTGGGCAAAAGAGGAAGAAGAAACGAAGCAGATGTATGATATGGTGGTAAAAATCATAGGTATGGCTTCTTGAGTCACATCTGATGTATGTATAAGCTTTCAAAGAACTGGCACTCATTCAATTATATTTTCTTCCTGTTTGGTAGCCAGTGCTGTTAGAGTTCTTGGTCAAATGTGTGATTCACATGTTTTTGTTTGCCTTTTTTTTTTTTTAAAAAGACACCAACTATCCTTTAAACCTAATCAAAGCTTTTGGTATAAAGATTGTAATTTGTGAATTGCATCAATATGGCTATAAAATTCCCATTGACTTAGTAGTATTTTATCCTATATTGAAAACAAATACAAATGTGATGTTTGTTTACTAGAAGTATGGTGACATGTTGCTTTCTGTATCTGTTTTTTCAGCCATCTTCAGCTAAAATATCTGCTCCAAAAATGTGTTAGCCCTCAATTCCATCCTTAATGGTTTTTCATAGAAAAAGCAGCTTTTTAATGAGTTACTTTGAGCAGAAATTATGTTGCTAAAATGGAATGCATGATTGAGTTCTGAAATCCTGCCTTTCTACTTGAAACCACAGTGTTGGCAATAGTTTGTGTTTGTAGTTTTTAAGCTCTGTTTTGGGCTGCATTTTTACTTAAATTGTTCTATTACTTTCATCTATGGCAGTCACCATAAATACAGAGATGGTAGACGAATCAGAACTGTTTTCCTGTTTTTACCATTTTCCTACATTTTTTGTTTGCAAATCAATCTTTGTTGAGGTGGAGGGAAAGCACTTTATTTTTAAAGATAGGCTGTCTTTGCTAACACTTAAAAGTACCAATCAAGAGTAAGAGCTCTCTTCCTTTATTTCAAAGTTATTACGATACTTGGATGCACTGTGCTTGGTTAGTTTTCTTAATTTGCCTTCAGCATGGCTGGGAAAGAAAATGTTTCAAAATGCCAGAAAACCTTAACTATTAAATTGGGAGGGATCTTGAGTAGGTGTTCATTGCCAGAATTGATACTTTTTTAATGTTTACATGAACTACATAGTTATCAGTTTGGTTTTTTTTTTTTTTATGATGACTTCAGATGTTCTAAGAAGCCACAGTGAGGCATGTTCAGAAAATAAAGAGTTGCAGCCTTACATGCCAGTTTTACATGTGCGTGATTCTCTAATACCTCCTCAGGACAGGTATGTTCTCACTAGAAGTAATGAATTTCCTTATGTGTAAAGAGGGAAATTCAGTAAAAAATAAATGGGTCAGTTAACGAAGTTAATTTCAGTAGGTTGCACACTGTAATATTTGGAGATTCTTATTGACACAGGTGGGGGGAAAAGCATTGGATTTCTCTTACGTGCTGGATGTCAACTATGCAGACTGTTATTGCTAACTTTGTAATTCTTGCTTCAATTTTTAAGGAGGAAAATGAATAAAGTCTGGAATCGAGCAGTTGACTTTCTTGCAGCAAATGAATCTAGAGTTCGCACAGAGACACGAAGAATAGGTGGTGCCGAGTTCTTGGTTTGGAAGTGGATGCAACCTTCTGCAGCATGTGACAAAATTTTAGTAATACCATCAAAAGTGTGGCAAGGCCAAGGTATTGAAGTTATATTTTGCAACTATAGTTGTTTTAATTTCTGCATCTAACTTCTAAATAGTACTTTGTTGCTTGAACATGAAAGGTTTGTTTTCTCTCACACATTTAAGGATTGTTATGAACTGTTAGTGTTATTTCTCTGTTATCTTGTTCTATAGACTTACTTTTTCTGTGCATTGTATCTGCCTTGTTTTCAAGGAAAATGAGCTGTTCTGTTATAGCTACTGCAGAAAGACACAGAGGGCAAGTAGCCAAAGTGAGTTGCTTGTTCCTTTTCATGAATTAAAAAAAAATACTCTTTAGTTGGTCAAATTCTGACATGCCTTACACTTACTGGAAGTAATGTAATTCGTTGTATCTGACAGCAGATAAATTGCATCTTGCAGGCTTGAGTTTCTTACTGTTAAGTTATCAGGTACCTAAAGATGGAGTTTGGAGGAAGAGATGTTTATTTTGAAAGGGAAACTGCTGGGACAAAAGATTCCTCAATTAGGAGAATGTGCATTTTGAACATCTCGTAGTGCCTCCTCTCTGTCATAAATGTTTTTCAAGCTTCGTGGTGTAAAGCATTTGCTTTAATAGAGAAGGCTGTTGTCATAAATGGGTTTTGCAGTGTTCTGTGACTTTTTAGCTTTATTGTGAAACCAAGTGGCAAGAATCTAGTGAGTTTGCAGTTGTCTGTCTACTGTGGTCATATTTTCCTAGTTCTTTTTCTTTCTGCCTTTCTTCATGTTAAGCTTCAGGTTTTGGGGTGGTTTACTTTTATTTTGGTCAATGAAAAATTGAAACTGTTAAGTCTTGAATTCTAGTTTGCAGTAAAAAAGGAATGTTCATTTCTATCTGTGCCTGAGTGTGAAAGCAAATGCTTAAAGTCTTTATTGCAAATTGTATAAATGTTGTGACTTTTTAAAAGAGTCTCTCACCTTGTGTTCCTCTATAATGCCATATTATCTCTCCAGTTGGACTAAAATAAAAGCTGTGCAGAATCCTAGTTTATAAACTCATCAGCTTCTTTTGATGGTCATGGACAGTGGTTGCTTCTCCACTTTTTTGTTCAGATTTTTTAATTGGATATTATCAAGGTAGTATTGTGTGTTACTTCTATGGCTTTGGACTAGATGATGAAAAAAGCCTAGTTAAAAACTAGAGTTTTTGCCCTGCCTAGTCCTACTTAAGCGAAAATTCTCCCTGGCAAGCAATTGCATCTCTGTTCGTCTGGAGTATGCTAATTTTGATCTTAGTTTAACTAATGCAAGTACCAATAGACTTCCTTCTTCTACTTTTTACTGGTATACATTTTTATTTTTAAGAAACATTGTTTCCCCTAAAAGAGGGTACAGTTTAAAGCAGCTCTTTCCAATGTGATTTACTTTACAAAGGTAGACAGAAATAGCTTCTTTATGGCTTGAAACATTTATGCTGTAGCAAACTTGATCACCCAAGTACAAGTACTGCTGACATTCTGGTTTTGTCCCAGGCATGTTTTAGTAAGTTCTATGTAGGCTTTCAGCCCTTGGCTCTTAAATTTTGCATTTCCCTAAGTTTAAAGGAAAAATGACCAATTCTCTCTGTCAATATGAAAAGCCAAATATTTTGAGGCATTTGCAGATATTTGACATGTTAACTGATGAGGGTCTTTAGTAGTCTTGGGACCCATTTCTTGCTTGACTATGCAAAATGTTACGTTGGGATGTCATTATATACTTCCCAAAGTTATACTACTGGTTTTAGCATTACGTTTCTCATTTTAAATAATTAATTCAAAATGAGGGCTTAAAAATACCTTGTGAATCCTACTGCAGACTTGAGGTTCTGTAGTCATTGTCTTGCAGTAATGTGGCATTCTGCTATGATAACTGTACTGTTTGATTTCAGTTTCTCAGTTTTCATTAGTAAGATGTCTTTATTGAATTTAGTACTAGAGTTGCAGAACCTTTTCTGTCTAGGACATTGTACATTAGGGATGTGCAGGTGCTTTAGGTACTACAAGAAAGAAATGGTGGGTTTTGTCAACAGCTGTCTGTTCCATCTCTCATTTAAATTGAGCATAGCTTCTGCAAAATATATATGTATATATATGTGTAGTTTATTGTTCAATACAGGCTGTGAAACATGACACTCCAGTTCTAATTTACTACTCATTTGCTCTCAGTTTTTCTTGTCCTGTTTGACTGCAATATAATCATGCCATGACAATTCTGTCCTGTATTAGAAATCAGACTGGATTTTTCTTCACCTGGTAGACTTCTCAGTGTGTGATAGTTCAGGCGGTGCTTTGCTACGTGGAATATACATTGGACACTCTCAATAGAACAGCAGTTTCCAAAACTTCCCAGAAAGACAGCTACTGTAGTAGCTACTGTTAAGTACCATCCAAATTTGAGCATCTGATACCTACGTTAGCATAGTGCCAATGTGGACAGAATAACTTAATCTCTCATCTGTGTCTTTTATCTGTGTGTTACTGACTATTATTACACGCTTAAGACTCTTTGCTTTCTATTGAATAGGACATATCAAAATCCATTCTGTTTCAGTCTGTTTAATAGCAATTTTCCTAGTTTTCTTGTTATGTTTGCAGATTAGCAAAGATGTTTGAAAAACTGAAATTGCATACTTGGGCTCTATCAGAAGAGCATGGAAATAGAGTGGCTAGAATGACAGGGATCAGTTGGGCTCTTGGTAGTCAGCAAGCAAAGGCAATTTTCACATGCAAAAACTCTCTTTATTTTGTGCTCCTTGTTTTCAAATGACTGTTTGAAATAGTTCCATTGCATAAGTCTCATACTTTTTGCACAGCTGCTTCTTTTCTGATGTTAGGAATTCTACATGATGTGTCACTTTCTTCCTTTTTTGGAATTATACATCAACTGCAGCTAAGTTCATACTCCAGTTTTGATGTGTGAATATAGAAGTTCATAAATCTAAATACTCTTCAAGACTGCTAGACCCTGAACAGACTCTGTACATAGAAAATCATAATGAATTCTTGGGTTTGAATCCTGTGAATAAATTTCAAGGTCACAGTTTTTTACCGTCTGAGATCTGATAGTGCTCTGTAGCTGAGCACAACACCTGAGGATGTGCAATTGAAGAAGAAAGCCTCTTGATCTGTCTGCGTGTACTAGGATATCAGTAGATGATAGCATGTGTTTTAACTATGGGACCTGCAGCATGCATGAAATCTAAGCTCTACTGTCCGTTAGCAGCATGTTTAAGCATCACCGTGACATTTCATTCAGTCCTTCAGGATGCAACCCATGTTTTGACAGTTTGAGTGGTTTTTTTAATAGATCAGAATAAATTCTGGTGCTGTTCCTTTGAAATATTATCTACTGGATACAGCAGATGTATTTGTAAAAAAAAAAAAAAAAGCCCATGGTAGGATGGACAAATACAATGTTTTGAAAACAGTATACAAGAGGACAGTCAATCAAGAAACAATCTTCATCATATCAAGTGTAATTTAGTTAAATCAATGGAGAAAACTCCACATTCCTAGTGTGTTCAGTTTGCTTTTGAAAGAACAGATACAGTTGTCCTGTCAGGCCCTTGATAATGGGAGCTCTAAAGAAAAATAGGTAGGCAGAGCTCCAGTGTAGCTAAGCTAACAGCAAAAGCCAAAGTTCTTTGACAGCTCTGGAGACGAGATAGACTTCTCTGAAGTACCACATCTAGGGTGATATTTCATCCTGCAGCATGGAAGATAACCTGTTACCTCTTGTGAACGACACCCTTCCTCACTAGCTTGTGAGAACGTAATCCTTTCTCCAAACAAAACCAATCAAACAAACAAAAAAACCACATCCCACAAACCTCTCAACTCTACTCTTTAACTGTTGTAAGAAAACTCTTGGTTTCATGATTCTGGTAAAATGCTGCATCTGTCCCATGCTTGTCTTCTATTGCTGAATGTAACTGTATTAAGTCAACCGTACTCTTCTCCTTGGTAAGATTTCGATTTTGGTATCTTTCATGTTTACTAAAGAACCTCGTGTTGTGTGAAAGTGCATCATTTCAACATTTTCAGACAATTGTTTTATCTTTTTGTTCTTGCCTTTGATTAGAAGAGTTAGTACTTAATAAATTACAGTGATCTGTGGCTTAACATTGAAAAATCTGTTCTTCAGAAACATAGTTACCTGTATTTGATATGAGTCTTCAGCCTTATCAGATGCATCAAATCCACATCTAAAGATCCTTTGGGCTGTCTTATAACCCCTGGTGATGATACTCAGGAATTCCTTTAGCAATAATATATTAGTCATTTAAGAGACATAGAAAACTTAAATGTTCCTTTTGAAGTCAGGGCAAAAGCCACTTCTTCCATCATAGATATGTTCCAGTCACAGTGATAGAGGTTGATGAAAGCACATGTTTTTAGCTGCTGCTGTTCTTTGAATCTGATATGATACAGTCATACTCAGTTTAATGTAGTAAAACAAAGTACACTATGAATGAAATAACAAGTAGCTTCCTTTTCTTGAAGGTGCTCAGTAGTCCCTAAGGGGAATTTATGAAAGTCCTAAATTTTTTGTCAGTGACTTATTGCATGAAGTTGTGGTTTTGCTTTCCCGTTTCATCTTTACCTTTTTACCCTCATCCTGTAAGTCTTACTCTTGAGACCTATTTAGAAAAAGGTGTGAAGTGCTTAGTTAATCAGCATGTACCTTAGACTGTTGTCTTGCATTATGTCTGCTTATGCCCTAATTGTGAGGAGAATTATTTTGTATGCTCCACACCAGTGTAAATTTTCAAATAATCAGTACTGTAACCCGAACAGCTTTGTCACAGAAGTTTCTCTTTTGGGGGAGAGGAGAATTAATTGTTACAGATGTGTAATGAAGATCAAGAGACATCTGTTAACTATGCTGTTTTGAGTTCTGCTGTGTAGGTGCAGCATTAACTTGCCTGTGTCTTCTCTAACCTCCCCTTTTGGTCCCATTTCTGGTATACATTTTAATGCTTACTACTGTTCTAGCATTAATTTTATACCTCACTGATTTCCATGATCATTTTTAACCCTTATACATAAAAAGCTCCATCTGAGTTGCAAAACTTACTTTTAATTTACCATGAGTCTGAAATGTTTTTTGAGAAAAACAGAGCTCATCTTTATTTTCATATGCTGCACTGCTCTGGGCACACTTGCTCTACCAGTAGGATGTTACTTAATGTTGGAAGCAGTTTAGTTTTCTGCTGGTGGTGTGCTCTGGCTGAAGTCGTCACCTGGAGCACCTGAGATCTTCCAGTCAAAAGGACATAAAAATTATTAGAAACTGGAACAGGCAAAGCTTGGTTTATACAGGTATTGATGCTAAAGGGTGAATTACCCATTTAGTTACTTTTGCATAGCTCAGTGGTGTAGCTGCTGCCATAAATCTCATTATGAATTTTTTGGAGTTCATAAACAGCTTGCAGAAATGTCGATCCTCTGGGCCTGGGGTCTCTGAAAATAACTACTATTCTTTATCCTTGGATTGAAACCATGTGCTGAATAAACCTAGCTATAAACAATCAGCACATAATTTCCTCAACCCCACACCTTTTCAGGTCCAGGTCCATGACTAGGCCACCCCAGATCACCTTCTCCACTATGGTGTGGTGCCCCAGTGTACAATATGCTGGTGACATTTCACCCCCCCCCTTGATCTGCTGGAGCCAAACTACATGAGTAAGGTAAGTCCATTTATTTTTCAATGTTGCTTAGTTCTGTAAAGTTTTTATTGTATACCCTATGTATAATTTTTAATTAGGGGCAAAAAACTTTACAAAACCATGTGCTATTGAAAAAGGACTTGTCCTTAAACTATAGGCAGCTCAGAGATAGATGTAGTGTCACCAGCATATTTAGAAATCTATTCCCAATTAAAAAACAGGTAGTTGTTACAGGTGTTGGTGACTTGCACTCTATGTGTGTGTGAGAGTATATACTAGTAAGAACATTTTTAGTTATTTGGGGAACTTACAGTATGTTCGATATTAGAATTGGAGGCCATTTTTTCTAATTTCTGGTTGGTAATTGTACTTTGTTTTTTTGCCTCAGAAATTTACATAAGAAGCAAGTTTGTCTATGTCATATCTGCAGGCAGTGAATTTTCTCTTGGTTAGTGCTTGTCTTTCACAAGCAATGTCTTCCACATGACTGAATTTCTTCCATGACTGAATTTCTTCTATGTGACATGGTTTTTGTTCTGGTAACATACAGAAGAGCAGCAGTGTTCATGTATTTTAGATATACTTGAAAGGTCAGCAGTAAGAAGCACAGATATCTGCCCAAAACTGAGACTTCTAACCCTGGGAATGTAACATCTTGAATCTGTCAAATTTTTCAAAAGTAGGAAGAAGAAGAAGCATTAGCATCATTTTGGAACATGATTTTGCCTTGTTGAGATTTTTGATCTTATATTTAAGCTCTTGAATCTACTTATCTCAAGTCTTCAAAGTAAAACTTTCTTCAAGCCTTGAAAGTTGTTTTACCAGGTCATCCCATTTCATTTCTGTTGCTGGTTTGTTGGCCCTTCTAAGGGCACAGAGCTGCCTTATCTGAATCTGAAGGGGGCTCCTTGACTCCTTTTCTCGTGGTCCAGTCTTCTGTTGCAATTCCCACAAGTAGAACTTAGGAACTTTAGAGAAGTTTATATTTTAAAACTCCAGAATGTATTTCATGACACTGTTTAGCTTTGAAAGAGTTACTCTGTTATTTTTTATTTCCATCTTTCTTCTTATTTTATGCTCTGGTGTGTTTCATTTCAGATTTTTGCAAGCTTCTGATCATTTGTGTAGAGCATTTAGGGTTACAAAAGCTCCATCCTTGTCTAGTGTTCTTGACATGTTACTGCAATACAAATGCAATGCAACATCCATCTAAACGGCTCCCTATTTCTTAGTCAGATGGGCAGCAAGATGCCCCAAAAGTGGAAGAAATGAGATTTCATCAGGCAGTTAGAACTGAATAGTTAACCTGCAGCTCCAAAAATTTGCTCCAGGTGTGTTAAGTATATCTGTCTTTTCATGGAGATGTAATGCAAATCCCTTCTCTTAAGTATATGGTATTTTTAAAAATACCCTGAATCCCTTCCATGTACTGTGGCCTGGACATAAGAGAGTGACTTAAACACAGAAGTTGTAAGTCTAAAAAAATTCAATTAAGTATGGTACATTTTCTTCATTGTGGTAGAATACTGTGGGAAACTTAACGTGCTTAAAACTTTTTCATAAGTGAAGGAAACTTTCTTTTGAGTAAAACCAGAAAGATATTAATGTATAAAGTTGACACTTGTTAACTCAATGGTATTATGCCTGTCAGTAATTAGTATTAACTTTATTTTTCTCTGTAGCATTTCATTTAGATAGAAGAAACTCACCACCGAACAGCTTGACACCATGTCTAAAGATTCGCAATATGTTTGATCCAGTTATGTAAGTAAATGTTATCTATCTGTATTTCTGTATTCTTTTGGAAGAGGCCATTTCTTTCCTCTGAGAGGGGTTTGGAAGAAGTGAGGAAACATGAACACCTTAAAAGAAATGAACAGGTTGTAGAACAAAAAAGATCTTTCTCTTAACACCAATGAGAAGAGATTAAAAAATCCTTATTTTCTGTCTTCTGTCCTTCATTGTCTTGCTCTGTGTCTTTGGTTCACTTCTTGAAGAGCACTGCATTTAGTCAAACTACTTGGAGCAATGAATAGTCTTCCTCTATTAATTAATTTTGTAAATGTTCAATTATATCAGCTGACAAAGGAAACTAATGTGGCCTAACAACAGACTGTAAGTTTTTCAAGTATTGTAAAGTATTCTGGAGTATTTATTCTGTTATAGAGCTTGCAAAATTTGCATTTAAAAGGCTGAATTTACTACTTTATGGCATTGTAACTGCCTAATTTTGAAGCAAATGGATTTTTATAGTGGGAACAAATTAGTGCTGAGTACTGGCTTCTAATGCTCGTGTGTAATTCTAAAGTATCTACTGTAACAAGCCTTGTTTCACCTGCCAAGAATTAAGGAATTTTTTGGTAGTCTTTTAGAGCCTCATCCACTGCACTATTCTGTTACATCCCCTTTGGCTGTGGACTAGATCATGCAAGGAGTTGGGGACTAGCACATAGGTTATGACCCCTCATCCCGTCAAAACTTTCAAGTCTGGTTTGTCCATTGTAAAGAGATACAGGACTCCAGTAACTTCTCTGGAGTAATTTATTCCCTGATGCGATTATACAATGGAAAAATGAAGATGCTCTACTGTCTTACAGGGTATGCGTGAGATGCTAGTTGGGACTGAAGAATGTGAGAAATTGAGTGGAAAATAAAAGCTATTGATTAAAACAGGGAATAACAGGAAGTAGGAGAGGACATCACAGTACGGACACAAGTGATTGCAGAGTTTGGATATATTTCTTCAGCCTTGTTTCTAGCCACACTTAATTACTTTAGTTCCTTGCCTTATTAATTTAAAAGCGCTTAGCTAATTTAGCTTAGGACAGTGTTATTCCTAGCATAGAGAAGTACTCTAAAACATTTTTCTCAGTGGCTTTAGGACTTAATGACTGGTCAAAGACACGAACTGTAGCTTCTATGATAATTTTCAGGTTGCAGTAGGGTGAGCAAGACTGAAATTTTTAGGCATTGTTCTTGAGGCAAATTGATCCTCCTGTAGGGGGCTTAAATAAAACATGAGATTTGCAGAGAATTTTGAGTGACATCCTTACTGTCCTTCCTTCAAAGAAGACTTCATGAGCTATATTGGTTAGTCTGAATAGTACTGAAGTAAGTCCATTCCTGAAACTTCACTGTAATATTTGGTGTGCTGTATTGGTTATTTTCCTGTTTCAGAATTAGCTGTTCAAAATGTCTGCTGTCAATGGAACTAATAACTGAGATGTTATTTTTGTCAGAACAATCTCTCTTTACAGCCTATATCTTTGCTGTAAGCTTCAGTGTTTTTCAGTACTCACCCAATCTATGCCCAGCAAGTGCATTAGAAAGACCCCACATTTATAGACTAGTTGTTCTTCTGTTTTGACACTTCTCTTTACTGTGTGTGTCCAGTCAGCTATTTTGAACATTGCAACTTCTAACATATTCACTTTTTGTAGACCTTTTCTTTTGGAAGCTGACCTAGCTCCATTACTGGACTGTTGGATTATAGTCATAGTGAGATACTTCATCCAATTACACGTTGCACGCCCTAGCCCATTCCTCCTCTATGAGCTGTCTTTCAGAGGATTGCAGCTTAAGGAAGTACTTTTTATCACACCTTTGGAGTTATCTTAAAACAAACAAAATTCAAAACCCTCAGTGCAAGACAAACTATATTATCCAACTGCTTGTGTCATTAGAGGAAGAAGGGTTATGTTCTTGTCCCACAATCTGAAAGGGATGAATGCTTTCAATGAGCACCTGAAACAGAGAACGCACCAGTGTATGCGATTAGGTTGGCATACTGATTTGACATTTGCTGTGAGTGCAAAGTATGCTTAACAAAATTAGTTTAGCTGCTCTTTAAGTTATTGTATACTAAGGGTAATGACTAAATACTTTCTGGCGATATGCCAGTAGCTGTAGAAGCAGCCCCATAATAGAGGTCTTTTCTCTTGACCTGAGAGTCATCTGGGTTATATACCAGTTAATTTGTATTTATCAATGTTAGCACAGTAAATAATCATCTTTCTACTGCCAAAAGTCAGGACACTTACCAAGGGAACAACTTATCCGATTTGTTCACTTGTACATCGTGAACCCTCAGATCACAGCAGCAGACTTAAATCTTGGTGTGTGTTCTAGACCATTTACTGTACTGGACAGAAATGTGTTTTTTTAAATATCTGTCCAAACATCACTTGCATAAGCCCATTTTAGGACAATGCCCTACTACCCACATACAGATTATTATTTTTGATTCCTAGGGCTGAATTTTCTAAATACACAATTTATTGTGTATTCAGTAGTAAAAGTCCTAAATCTGCCCCAGAGGCATATACCAGAAAATTATGTCAAGTTGCGCAGAAACCAGACTCAGTGGGCAAGGATGAGACTGTTGTGAATGTTTAAAAAATTACGTACCTAATTAAATTTTTCATTGTTTGCCTAGGGAAATAGGTGATCACTGGCATCTAGCAATTCAAGAAGCAATCTTGGAGAAATGCAGCGATAATGATGGAATTGTTCATATTGCTGTTGACAAAAATTCACGTGAGGTGACTGTCTTTCCAGTAACATATTAATACTTTGTTCATCCTTTTCTGTTGGACTTGTAAAAAACCCAAACCCCTCTCTCTCTTGCTTTAGGGCTGTGTATATGTCAAGTGTCTCTCTCCGGAGTATGCTGGAAAGGCTTTCAAGGCATTACATGGCTCTTGGTTTGATGGTAAGGAATGCGAGTTTATAACAAAACGTGGGTAGAAATGACAGAAGATGGGTGAAGTTGGAGTTTTTTTAAATGGTGAAATTTTTAAAATTATTTGTATCCAAAGTATTGAGCAGTAACAAAAAACCTGGTAAACTAATTTTGATGTAATGATGTGTTTGTGTTTTACATTCCAAAGCAAAATACAACAGTAGTGAACTAGAAGGTTTCTCTTTTCCTATTTCTTTGCCTCATAGGAAAGCTGGTAACAGTAAAATACCTGCGACTAGATCGGTATCATCATCGTTTTCCCCAGGCTCTTACTTGTAACACTCCACTGAAGCCATCAAACAAACACATGAACTCTATGTCACATCTGCGTCTTCGGACAGGCACAACTAATTCTCAGGGAAGTTCCTGAGAAGACTTTCTACAACTGCTAGGACTGTTACTTGCAACAGGAATTTTCCTGTTTGGCTGCCGTCTTCCTTTTTTAGTGCTTTTTGTATGTAATACTTCAATGAATTAAATAAAAGTTTGAACGTTCCAGAAATCATGTTTCCAAAGGGACTTAGCAATGAGGCAGTAATACTGAGCTGACAAAAGAGAAAAAGAAAAAGTTGCTTCACAGAGTTTTCCGGGGCTATAGTAAACCAATGCATTTAAGTTTTGCATGAGGACTACCAAATTCATTATACATTTGCAGATGTGGTGACTGTATTTTTGCACCAAGAAGTGTTTTTGATAATACAAAAGCATGGAGAAAAGAAGACTTCCTATATTCCCATAGTCTCCTGTGAAATAATCTTGTGGGTATTTTGTAACAACCTCCAGTTCCTGATGGTGAATAAGTTAAAAAAAAAATAATTCAGTCCACATTAGTTTTTTGTTGCTGTATAAGAATCTTCTTCTGCAGCTGGGGTATGGGGAAAGTGAATTTGGCATAAGTGGTTGCATATAATTGTGAGGGAAAACAAACTGAATGTGGATGTACGGGGTTTTGTATATAAATGTAAATGCTGGTGGTGGCAAAAATGGTTGTGTTCTGTGAGGATGTCTGCATCGAAGCAGCGAATAAGCTTCCTATTTTATTCAAAACCTAATGTTTTATATTATTTTGGCTGTACCATGACAGGAGGCCAAATACCTAAAAGTGTTGCATACAGGTAAAATATCTTTTATAGGTTTTTTATTAAAATGCCTGACTGATTTTGTGTGAAAGATCTGATACCAATTGTAATGAATTCAAATTTATGAGCAATAAAGAAGCAATTGGCAGATACTGGAAAAATATTTTGTGAAAAGCTGTATTTATTGTTACAATTGTCAGGGCTGTGACAAAATACCATTGGGATTAAGTGACATTCCCAGTACATTATAACTTGTTTTAGTAAACCAGTTACCTGTTAAAATTTTAAAAGGTACATAGTTTCTTGCAACAATTTCAGCTGATGCAAACTAGTACAGCTGACAGTAAATCTTGTGGTTCCATGCTTGTAAATTTACTAACGTTTACCTAGAAGTACAAAATTGTTGCTGAGAAGCTTAGTTGCAAATCTAAGATTATTGGCTTTACTAATCCCCACTCCTACAATTTTATCTAGTTATCCAGCTGAACATCCTGTAGGAGGTGAGACTGGGAGCACATCGGTCCCACAAATTTTACTGAAACTCACTTTACTTTGTAGATATGATGGATTTGCAGCATGAACTTGCACAAATAATGCACGTTTTTCTTATGGTTAAGTAAACATGATGCACACTATTCTGCAACAGGAAATCCTATTGTGCCTTACCTTTGTGCTTTTGTGGGCACCATGTTTATTATTGGAGAGTTTGTTAACCGAAAAATTTTAAATCCTCAGTTTTATGTCTCAGATGCTAATGAATGAGTATATATAATATATAATCAGCCATGCAGAATTCTACTTGCCAAGGACAAGTACATATTTTTGATGGGTAAGTAGATTGTGCCAGGTCTGGTAGGTTTTGATGAGTTTTACTATATACATATATGTATATGTATAATATACATGTATATGTATTATATATATGTATATAAACTAATTTTGTTGTATTTGATGTGCATCATAATGATTTGTTAACCTGACCTTAGTGACCCCATCTTGTGACCTGTTGCAAGACTGAATGTAAAAATAGTTGTGGCATTTTAAAAGGTTGCCTCGATGCAAATGCATCAATCTTGCTTCTAAAATATATTTCTTGTAAACACTGTACATTTTATTATTGTAATATGTACTATTATGCAGCTTATTTTACCTTAAACTGTTAAGTTGACCAATATCCCTTCCTGCAAGACAGAGGGGAATGTGTATAATACCTGAACATTTGAGAAAAATCAGATTTTGTTGTAATTTGTCACCTTATCCTGTAAAAACAAAAAACCAAACCAGGCTCAAATTAAAGGTTTATTAGGGGGTTTTATATGTGTCTCACCTTCTAGATATTTGGATGTCTCTGAGTCAAATACTTCTTTCATCTGGGCGGTGATGGGAAGATCAATTTGTCACAGCCACCTAATTTTTAATATTTGTTAGGATTTGAACAGGTGCTGCCATGAGCTGCCATACACAGCTGAGCTTCACTTGACTGTCTGTCAGCTTGACTTCTGCCCTAATTTTGTGCACAGGGAGTGCAGAGGCATAACCTTGATTTCTAAATTGCGGAGATGCCACTTTGTCTGACCTGTTAAAGGACAGGGGTGATGAGTCTTAGCCTTGTGCTTTCAGCTTATTTCTTATATTTTGAGCTATAAAAAATCTTCAAAGGCATTTTGATAGGCTTTTGTTTTTTCTGTCATTATATTATGTTGTTTTAAAATTGTTTTAGTGACGATTTGAAGGGTTGTGGGGCAGGAGGAGCAAAGACGGGTGTGTAAGTCTGTTATTTACATGCATTTGCCCCGCCTGCTCGTACATGTTCCCTGTGGAAGGCGAGGAGGAGTAAGAATTTCGATGCTGTTCGGTTCTCCCCTTCTTTGAAGTCAGGCACGGTGGGCACTAAGTGCTGTCGTAGTTTCGCGACTGGTGCTAAAGCCACGAGCTGACTCCGGGTGGGAGCCGGAGCCGCCGCCACGCTGTCCCCGCTCCCGCCGGCGCCGCGCAGCCCGCCGAGGGTCGCGACGGGGCTACCTCCCCTCGGCCAGAACACCCTGGCCGGGGCTGTGCTTCGGAACTGCGGGAACGTCACTTTAAAAGGGCGAGGGGCCGCTCCCTCGGCCCGCCCGAAGCGCACCTTTAGCCCGAAGGGCGGCGCGCTCCGGCCGTGCCGCAGCGGCGGGACGGGATGGGGTCCCGGCGGCCTCCCCGCGCTGCCGGGCCGCGCCGGGCGGGCGGCGAGACTCCCGGCTCCATGTTCATATTTGGCGTTGGCCGCCGGTGCCCAGGAATTTCCCGTCATGCTCGCCGGGCGGCGGGCCCGTCACTGCGCTCCCGCGGGGGGGCCGGGGCCGCTCGCTCGCTCCCTCGGGCCGCTCCCCATGCGCGCTGCGCCGCCGCCGCTGCTCCCCGCGCTCTGCCTGGCACTGGCGGCCGCCGCAGGAGCAGCAGGTAGGAGCCGCAGGTAGGGGCTGCCCCCGGCCCCCCGCCTGCCCACCGGACCCGCTGCCGCGTCGCGGGGAGGCCGGCCCGGGGGCTGCGGCGGGGGCGAGGGGAGGAACGGCGCCGGCAGCGCGAGGGGCCGGGCCAGGCCGGGCCGCACCTGCCGGGGCTGCGGAGGGGCGGGCGGGGAGCGGGTGCGAGCTGTGGGGGGAGCCCCCGGGCCCCGCTGGCGGCGGAGAGCTGCGCTGGGGTCGGGGCTCGCTTGGGTCGGTTCCTGTGTCACGGAGTGAGTCCCTGACAGCGATCGCCGTCCCCGCATCCCGGCCCCATCCCAGCCGCATCCCGGCCGTGCCGCCCCTGTGGCCGCCGCAGTGCCTGGATCCACGGGCACGGCGCGGCTCCGGGCGTCCTGCGCTCCAGCCGGGGCCGGTCTCAGAAGCGGGGTGACTGATGTCGGGGTGCACATGGGAATAGCTGGTTCGGGGAAGCAGCGCTTGACCGAGTTCAGTTCTGCCGCGGTCGCTAGTTCGGTAGATTGTGCTGCGCTGGGACAAAAAAGGAGCTTAAACCTCACGTATGAGCTCTGAATTTGGTCGCGTTTCTCTAAGGAAGCTCAGTGTGCTGGCTAGTTGGGTTTGTTTGATGTTGCGCTACTGACAGATACAGTTGATGCATAAGATAAAGTATAATTTATTTCTTACTGTCCCCTTCCCAAGTTAATGTAACTGTACTTAGTGCATCTTAATATTCCTGGAAATAGAAATGAGACTTAATTAAGCTTCCTGTAATATTTGACAAATTATCTATAAATGCTGGCTTTCCTGCTTGAGCCAAAATTTCAGTCATCACCCTCTTAGCATAAAGACTACTCTGAAGGTGCAGTGATCTTAAATAGGGATAACCATGTATTAAAAATACCAAATCTATCAGTGGTTATCTACAGATAAGGCCAGATGTCTACTGTTATCTAGCAATAAACGCTGTAAGGTGATCTCTGTAAGAGTTCTGACCTTAAACACAGCTTCTAAGTAAGTATAGAGCCTTATATGTATCACACTTTTAGCTCTTTTTCTTTTAAGCTTCCTGTTGTTACTATTAAAACAGTTATGAAACTGCACTTTCTTGACAGGTAGATGTCAGAAAGAGATATCTCCAATAGCCAGATGCTTTGCCTTACCGATATGACTTGTTTATGGCAAGTGGTCTGTAAACAGAAGAGCCATCTCCACTCCCACTATGGTACAGTGCCACTTATCTGAATCCAACATTGAACACTTAGAATTTGTCCTGCTTATGTTGTTGCCCCCACTGAATTGACACAAGTGCTTGCTGTCTTATGTGCTGATGATTCTCTACTTTTTATTACACTGCTGCGTGCCTTTGCAGTTCGTCATGATTCCTTGTCTGCCAAATTTGGTTGGTAACAGTGCCCTTTAAGTCTGATTCTGGAAGTAGTTTCCATGTGGCTTGTCATCTTAATCAGACGTTTGCTCATAGTTTCTAAAAGAATCGCCCGCCTTGCTGTAGACATGGCTTATTTTAGAACAGTATTTCTTAACTATCTTTTAAAATTTATGTAGGAAATTAAAGACAGTCAGTAGCTTAACCAGAGTTACTAAATAATCCTAGAATTCTGAGATGAAAAAAGGATTATTTTTTTAATAAAGTTCTGCACTGATTTCCCAAAACCACTAAAATTAGTGCAGTTAAGTCATATATAGTTAAGTCTAGAATGTAGTTGGTTGGTCCTTTTCTTGTCTGATGTTCCTTGGATCTTTATAACACACATTTGGAAAGATTTTTTAGGAGGAAAGAAGAATTCTATTTGTCTCCCAAAAGCATGATCTTTAAAAATAATGCCTTTGTAGATGGAGTAGTTTCTGCATTTGGTAGCAAAGCCATATAAAGCAGTTGATCCTAGACAAAATTAAAATCTTTTGACTCGATCTTGCTCATTTTTCAAAGTGGTGGCAGTTACACACTCTCACAGGGG